TCATACTGGTGAGAAACCTTACAAATGCGATGAATGTGGCAAAGCCTTTGCTGAGCGTTCCAGCCTTACGCAGCATAAGAGAATCCATACTGGAGAGAAACCTTACGTGTGTATTGAGTGTGGCAAAGCTTTTAAGCAGTGTTCACACCTCACTAGACATCAGAATATACATCCTGGAGAGAAACCACACAAATGTAATGTGTGCGGCAAGGCTTTTATCCAAAATTCAAGCCTTATGGAACATCAGAGAATTCATACGGGAGAAAAACGTTACAAATGTAATAAATGTGATAAGGCTTTTATCAAACATTCACACCTTTGGTGTCATGAGAGAACTCATACTGGAGAGAAACCTTACAAATGTAATGAGTGTGGCAAAGCCTTTACAGCACGTTCCAATCTTACTCAACACCAGAAAATCCATACTGGAGAGAAACCTTACAAATGTAGTGAGTGTGGCAAAGCCTTTAATCAGTGCTCAAACCTTACTAGACATCAGAGAGTCCATACAGGAGAGAAACCATATAAATGTAATGTATGTGGCAAGGTCTGTAGTCAAAATTCAAACCTTGCAAGTCATCAGAGAAGGCATACTGGAGAGAAACTTTACAAATGTCATGAGTGCGGCAAAGCCTTTATGGAGCATTCAAATCTTACTCAACATAAGAAAGTCCATACTGGAGAGAAACCTTACAAGTGTAACGAGTGTGGCAAGGCCTTTACAGATAATTCAAATCTTACTCAACATAAGAAAATCCATACTGGAGAGAAACCTTACAAATGTAATGAGTGTGGCAAAGCTTTTATCCAATTTGCAAAACTTACAAGCCATGAGAAAATACATACTAAAAAGAAACATTATAAATCTAATATATGTGGCTATGCTTTTATTCAAAGCTCAAGCTTTGGGGATCATCAGAATTTATAGTAGAAAGAAACCTTACAAATACAATGATTGACACAAAACTTACGCAAGTGTTCAAGCCTTACTCAACATCAGAGACTCCATCATGGAGAGGAACCATGTAAAAGTAATGGGCGTGTCAAAGCCAGTAACCAGGGCTCATACCTCACTTGATATCAGAATATACATCTTTGAGAGAAACCACACAACTGTAATATATGACAAGACTTATCCAAAGTTTAAGCCTTGTGGAACATAGCAGAATTCTTATTAGAAACCTTACGAATGTAAGTTTCATCAGCTTTATCAAAAATGTACACCTTTGTGGTTATGAAAGAATTCATATAAGATGGAAACCATACATATATGTCAAGGTCTTTAAACAATGACCTCAGTATACGCCAAGGAATTCATACTGGACAGAAATAGGACAAATGTAAGGAAGGTGATAGATTGTTTAACCAATCCTCTCAATGGAATACATGTAAGAAAATTCATACTAGAGGGAACTATTATTTTAATATTAACCAACCTCAGATGTTAATTTCCACAGTGAATTAAAAATTAAAATTATTTAAAACTCATATGATGTGTGTCCATGGAGCAGGGTCATCTGTGGAAAGGTCTAATTACTTTCAGTTTATAAAATCTTAAGTTATTTGAGGTTTTTTGAAAAGACTACATTATTGATGACTTACAACCTGTAGTTTGAAATCTTTGATGTTATACTTTGATACATGCTTTTCATTTGTCACCATGATGGTCTCAGGGAAGGGATTGGTAAGATGAAAGGACCTACTTCTTTAGGTGGGGTTTATGGAACTTGGAAAAAGTAGGACACTAATTTTAAAGTACAATATGGTATAAATTTGAGAGCATGGGGAGTGGCAGAGAATAGATGTAAAACTGTTATCTAAATTACGTGTTATGTGGTCACAGCCCCTTCTATGTATTTGTCAGTATGACGGGGCCTCTGTTGATGGTTGTAGGAAAGGATTGCTGTACTAGATAATCATGAAACAGAGAAAGGCAAGACTTTGAGAAAATGACGTTTTCCCATGAATAGAATGATGGGTTACTAAGGATGGCATATGTGGTAGAAAGAATGGAGGGGGAAGGATGGTCTCCTCTTTTTAAAGGTTATATGCGTTGTATTTGATAAATGAATGAAAATTAGTCTTATTTTGAAACTGAAAAGACAAAGTTATAGAGAACAGTTGAATCAAAAGAACCATAGTGACAGTGCTTTTGAAGGATACAAATTTGGCCACTGAAATTGCATTTTTATACCATTTTATATAGAATGTATCATACTTCTCATGTCTCAGTAAGTAAAGTGTAGTCTTTTTTTTTTGTAATCCTGAATGAATCATGTGCCTTCATCAACCCAAGCATATTCTGCCTCATTGGGGCACTTCATAATGAACCCTAATGATACATCATTTGGCTTTCTAGGTTAAACGGCATCTGTAACAATTTCATCCCTTCGTAGATTCAAACAAATTACAATTTTGGAAATATATATTCATAATTTGCATTTTTTATGCACTCCATAGTGTATCCCAGATTATTTCTGTGGTTGTAATGATAAAACCATAGTAGTAATTTCAGACTCTCCCCCCTAAAACCTGCCTCCCCATTCATGAATATATAGCATATGATTTCTACATGTCTTTTTTTGTGCTGAAATAAGAACCATGGATTGCACTTTTACATCAAATGAAAGTAAAAATATAGTAAGCATATGACAAATATTAGGAAATAAAAGAAAATTTCAGAAATAAGGATAAAAATAACACAATGCCTTTTTTGTGCTTGGAGTACTTAGGTAAATAATTTGAAAAGATCAGTGTTCATGAGTTTCCTCTTAAAAATGAAAATGCACAAGGGATTTTTTTTTTGATAAACTAGAAATTTCATATATTCACTGTTCAACACATTTTTTATTAGTTTGCACCTGTGCTTACTCTACTGGGACAGGATGGAACCCCACTCAGAATTTAGTTTGGATGTCAAGTCTGATGGCTCCATACACTAAAGTGTTTGGGAATGATTTTTTCACATAATGAGGCTTTCTGAGGAGAGCAGGGTAGACTTCTCATGTTCCAAAAATGGCTAGACAGAGCGGGGAATCATGACTGGTTGAGTTATGGTGGATACCAGGTGAGGCTCAGGTGCTGGTACTCATTTGTGGTGTGAACTTACTGCTAGTGGAAAGGGAAGGAGCACTCAGGCTTTATTATTGGCTTGCCCTGCCCAGATGGACAGAATAGGAAGAGGGTGTAGAGAGGCTTAAAGGGTGTCACTAATCAGGCATCAAAAATGGAATTAGACTCTTTAAAATAAAATAGAAATTTTACTCTTGAAACTTAATGAGTTTCCTCTTAAAAATTAAAATACACAAGGGATTTTTTTTTTTTGATAAACTACAAATTTCATATATTCACTGTTCAACACATTTTTTGTTAGTTTGGTTGGGAATGACCACAGTTGTCCTCATGCTAATGATATAGTACATTCCTCTTTCTGATGCACACAGATCCCTTTGCACAATATGATTCTTGAAAGTGTTTGTGAAGTGCTGTTTAGATCAATTGCCTAACATAATCTTAACACTTCATGAAAATGCGTGGACATGTTTATCAGACAATAAATATGATTCAGTAATTTTTCAGAAGAGCCATTTTTGAAAGGCTGTTAATATCTCTATTGGAAGTTATTGTAATAAGCATTACATTGATTTCTCAACCATAGTAAAATTCCATTTTGTTAATCATATTTTTATTATTTTTTGAAATACTGTTTAGCCCAATTTATATATTATATTACATTTCTTTCTTTTTGCTTCAGTGAAAAACCTGGAGGATACATAAATGAAGGGTTGTTTTCAGATTTGTGTGGCATGAAAACGTATGTAGAGGAGTGATGGATGCAAAGTATGTGTTCTGTAAACATGAAGAAAGAGTGTCCTTACATTTCAAGTTCAGTGAGAGAGTTGGAATGTCTCATAACGTGGAAGCAAGAGACCTGTTGCTAATGTGCAAGTGTATCACTAGGATTTAGGAAACATGATATGTTAATTTTACCTTTAAATGTATTTCTCCAATTCCTCCCCTTCTTACTATTACCATTGCCATCATCATTATTCTTCCATTATTAAAATGGAAACTGGAACTCATCTCCAATGCCTTGTAGACTGTAGTTAGTAGATCAGAACTATTTTCTAAATTTAATATGGAGAAATTAGGGTTTTATTGAGATATAATTTACATACAACAATTCACACTTAAATGTACAATACAGAGGGATTTATTATACAGTCATGCTCTGCATAATGATATTTTGGTCAACAATGGACCACACATACAATGGTGATCCCATAAGATTAGTACCATATAGCCTAGGTGTGTAGTAGCCTATACCATCTAGGTTTGTGTAAGTACACACAGTGTACTTACTGTTCACACAGTGAAACTGTGTGTTCACACAGTGAAGCTGCCTAGTGACACTTATCAGAATGTATCCCTGTTGTTAAGCAATGCATGACTGTATTTACAATGTTGTACAACTGCAATATTTTTTCTCACCTCCCCTAAAATAACTCCATACCCCTTAGCAGTTATTCCCTACTCCACATACCCCCCCCAACCACAAGCAAATTATAAGCTCCTTTCTGTCCCTATGGGTGTGACTATTGTGAGCATTTCATATAAATTAATTCATACAATATGTGGCCTTATTGCTTCCTTCTTTCAGTTAGCATAATGTTTTCAAAGTTATCTGTGTTGTGACATTTATCAGTGCTTCATAACTTTTTAGTGCTGAGTAATATTCCACAGTTAGTTTACCCACTCATTTGATGGAGCTTTGGGTTCTTTCCACATTTTGGCTATTATAAGAAATGATTCTAGGGACAGTCTTTTACAAAATGTTTTTGAGGATATATGTTTTCATTTTTCCTTGGTATATTTGTTAAAAGTGAAATTGCTGGGTATGATATTGTGATTTATGAGAAATATATATTTGGTCATTCAGGTGAGTAATGCATTACTTCCACTCACAGCCTATTTGGCAGAACTGGTCTCATGGCCTTTGGTGTGCTTTATATGCCACATTTTGTAGTAATTCAGATATGTGAAGAAAATGTAACTCTACGTGGGAAGGTGGCAAACTTTTTATATAAAGGGGCAGATGGTAAATATTTTATTCTTTGTAGGCCATACTGTTTCTGTTGCAGCTATTCTACTCTGGCCTTGTTGGATCAACAGTACCTAAACATGGGTGTGGCTGTATTCCAATTAAAGATCATTTAAAAACAGATGATAGGGTGTATTTGGCTCATGTTCTTAGAACCCTGATCTACACAGAGGAATGTAGAGCACCAGAAATAGTAACTACATGGGTAAATTAAAAATGTCTTTCTTATTTTTAAATCTCTTTAAAGTATAATTGTTTAAAAAACGAACAATCTGACGAACAGTCACGTATCGCTTAACGACAGAGATATGTTCTGAGAGATGTGTCATTAGGTGATTTCATCTTTGTGCAAACATCATAGAGTGTACTTACACAAAGCTAGATGGTATAGCCTACTACACACGTAGGCTATATGGTATAGCCTATTGCTCCTATGCTGCAAGCCTGTACAGCATGGTATTATACTGAATACTGTAGACAATTATAACACAATGGTAAGTGTGTATCTAAACATAGAAAAGATACAGTAAAAATATGGTGTAAAAGATAAAAAATGGTACACCTGTAGAGGGCACTTAGCATGAATGGAGCTTGCAGGACTGGAAGTTGCTCTGGGTGAGTCAGTGAGTGAGTGGTGAGTAAATGTGAAGGCCTAGGACATTACACTACTGTAGATTTTATAAACACTGTACACTTATTCTACACTAAATTTATAAATATTTTTCTTCAATAATAAACTTACTGTAACCTTTTTAATTTATATTTTTTCTAATTTTTAAACTTTTTAACTAGTAAAAACACTTAGCTTAAAACACTGATACATTGTTTAGCTGTACAAAAATATTCTCTTTCTTTATATCCTTGCTATATGACTGGCAGTGCAGTAGGTTTGTTTACACCAGCATTGCCGCAAACGTGAGTAATGCCTTGTGTTACAATGACGATGACATCACTAGGCAGTAGGAAGTTTTTGTCTCCATTATAATCTTAGAGGCCACCATTGTATATCCGGTCTGTCATTCACTGAAATGTCAGTATGCTGTGTATGACTATAGTATGGGGTTATAGCATA